ACTCCAAGCACTTGCAAAAAAAACCATCAATTAGTACCAAATTCTCAACGCATACTAAACTACTTAAGTACTCACAACCTAAATGATTTAAAACTAAACACAGCGCCAAACAACTCTTTCATCTCTCTCCACCAAACTGTATAAAGAAACCTACCAAAACACTGCTAAATCCACCACACGAAAAATGGCCAAATTGGTGTTACATATACACAGACAGGTCCTATGACCCAGACTCAAAACACACGGGATTCGGCATCCACCTACAAAAGTACGAAAAAATCCTATCGGCTCCCCAATACCAATCAGTCTTCACAAATGAACTAATGGGGATATTAACAGCCCTACACAGTCCCCAAATAAATAAAAAAACTAATCCAGACTAAAACAGACTCATTAAGTGGGCTCTGGGCAATAAAAAACAAAAACACAAAAAACGTCCAAAACTTCAGATACTTAAAAGCTACGACAATCTCCGTAAACTAGGTAAAGACATATAGTTTGGATCCCTGCCCATGTCAGAGTGTTAGGTAACGAACACGCAGACAGAGCAGCTAAATCAGCACTAAAATTGGAAGGAATAACCATCAACTTTCAAATATCTAAAAACAAAATATTACTAACGAAAAAATCTTTCAAAGATGGCTAAACAACTATCAGAAATCAAAATGCTAACTAAAACACCTTCTACAAAAGCCACTCAAAAAAAAACAAATCCATCATAAAACCAAAGAAATTCGACAGGGCAATGACCAGGTTACAAACAGGCCACACTAAACTAAACTCACACTGACACCAAATTAACAAAACATCAAACAGGTAAAATGCCCACATTGCAACCAAATAGAAACTCCTGAACACATAATACTACATTGCACACATTACCAACAACACAGAACAACACTAAAATAACTTACAAACCTACAAAACACTAGGCATTTATCTGATGAAAACAGGCCTACTTGGCTGCATAAAAAAAAAAAACAAAAAAAAAAACCACAACAAACAAGCTACTAATAAAACATAAATCATAAGTACATAAAAACACACAACCTCACAAACTCCTTTAGGTCTCCCACCTTATTAGCATGGCATATTTCAAAATTCCAAATTTCAGCCAAAATTAATTAAGCGACCATAAAGCCCCTCAAGGTTGCCTTACCTTTTGGACATACCCTTCTGGACCACACCACTAAATGGCCTGGTGGGCACGTGTGCGAAATTTGGAAAGCGCACGTTAATACCCAAACTAAGTAAGCAATCTATGAAGTTATGTGGACATAACTTTTGTCTAATTGAATATTATGCCTGGGAGATGGGTTCTTGTTACCTTAGGATAGTGTTTATCTATAAACTAAAACTGAAACTGATATTTTATATCTACTTTTTCCCAGAATCCTCACGTAATCACTTGCTGTGGATCTATAATAATATGAAAAGATGTATAAATGTTTCACCATGATACTATACTGAGTCAAATTAAAAACTTCACATTTTTAAAAGTAATCCCATTTATGATATACAACGGACAAATGTATCAGAGAAGGTAATTTTTAATCATTAATGTCCAAAGAAGGATTTTAATTAACGGTGGTAACCATAATTTGTTCCAAGCACCTACGGTATTTGGTAATACAGTGATCGCTCGCTATTGCGCTCTTCGATAAAGCGCTACTTCGGTTATTACGCGCGGTAACGCATGGCTCCCAAAATTTATGTACACTTTTAATACTGAGAGTTTTACACAGACATGATTGTATTGTTGTTCGTTGTTTATTTGCACATAACGCTTCTCATTGCATAATCAACGGTTTATCGCTGAATGGAGTTCTAATAATCTGTTTGAAAATATCCGCGGCAAGTCCCGGAAATACGATTGTTCAACTAGTTAACTTTTCACACTATACATCAACAGTTTAAATCATAAGTCCCAAGCACGAGAATCTGATGGCACACAAGTTCAGTAGCGTGTATGGCCACCATGTGTGTTGACAACTGTCACACAACGCCTCCGCATGGACCTTGTGATGCTTGTGAACACATGATTGGGAAGACGACGCCATTGTTGCTGCAAAATGGTGCCAAGATCTTGCAAATTCTGTGGTTGGTTCTGGACCATGAAGTTGACTCCCGCATTCTGAAGCAAATTCCTTGTCGAAATTGCTGTGTGGGGTCTGGCATTGTCGTGTTGGAAGATCAAACCGGGTCCATGTGCTGCCATAAAAGGCAGAAGTTCTGGTGTCAGTACCTGGTCGCTGTAAGCAGCAGCGTTGAGGTTGCCACGGATGACAAGAAGCCTGGAATGTGCATTGCCACAGAAAGCACCCCACACCATGACACTTCCGCCACGAAATCTGTGAAAGTCCCTGTACACAACACTGGGCGTAACGTTCATGACGGCGCCTCCACACCATCCAGTCCATCGTAAGTGTCGCTGTGCCCACAATTGACGTTGACGTCTGTGTAATTGAGTCAGAATCAGCCCGCAGTATGGCCGTCGTGCTTGAAGGTGAGCAGTTCTCAGATGGTTTCGAACAGTTTGCGCACACAGTCTACCCCTAAACAGTTCATTTCTGGTTGATGTAGCCGTCAAAAATCGGTTACGGAGGTGATGTAAGACAATCTGACGATCCTCTGCATGTGATGTCACACGTGGTCGACCTGGCCGAGGGCGATCAGCGGTGGTACCCGTTTGCTGTTGAGGCATCTGTAAATCATAAACAGTCTGTTGACTACAACCCATCGTCCTTGAGACTTCAGCTACGGACGTTCCCGTCTGCAACATGCCGATGGCACGTTCACGTTGCACATATGAAAGGCGTGGCATGACAAATGGCCGTAAAGACTTTTGTTTTCTTTTGTTTGTTTTTTTTTGTTAATGACTGCTAACAAGTATGGCTGAAACCATGTGCGGTATTATGGCCACGTGACCAGTTGCGCGTGAAAAAAACACTTTTGCCACTATAGTGCTGTGCACATGATTTTGATCGATTCACCTGCACAAAAACAGGTGTTATCTGAAGACAATACGTGGCCATTACTGTTTAAATACACAATAAGGGCCCACAATGATAACTGGTCAAAATGTTAATAGTTTAGGATTGTGAAGTTTTTAATTTGGTTCAGTATATATGGTATCATGTCATAAGATATATTGTTGATATTGATACTTGTTCTCTATTTGTCAATAGTTTTATTCACAATATTAGCAGAAAATATTTCTCACATATTTTCCGATTTCATCTTAAACATAGCTGCCACGGTGGCCATATTGATAACGTAGTTTACTCTGGCCATTTCTGCATGTATCATGAAATTTGATGTGCAGCAAGTGTATGGTTTTCAAGATAACGTTATGTTTTTTGGATTTTCTCATCCAGCTATAACCTTTGACTTTCACATACCCCTGTTTTTCGGGTGTTACTGCATCTAGAATATATACTCAACAACAAAAGTTCCTGTGACACCAATATTTTAGTGTATTTTTCAAACAAGTAAAGTTTGGTTTTCAATATTGTAGTACATGTATGGAATCAAGTCACAAAAACACAACTGCTACAGAAAAGCATGCATTCCATGCAAAAGTTGACTTTTATGCAAGCCCCATGCATTTCACTACCCAAGAATGGGTATAAAAACATGTGCGTTAACGGGATTCCATATGCATTGTTTAGCATCGTGCTGACAACAACCACTCAGAAAAACAACAAAATTACGCAATTATTCAACATTACGAAATGCGTAGCCTCTCCGAAAATGAGCGTCTGCAAGCCATTGGTATGCTTGAAGCAGGATCAAGTCAACGTGATGTTGCAAGACAATTTAACGTCCACAATTTGGTGTTTATGGCAACGTTGGCAACAGACGAATGCAGTCAGAGACCATCCTTGGAGTGGCAGGCCACGCGTAACCAATAATCGACAAGACAACTGGATTCGAACAACACACCTACGAAATTGATTACAGTCAGTAACAGTGACTGCAAGAAGCATCCCTGGCCTTCGACGAATATCTTCACAAACCGTACGTCGATGCCTCAGATGTGCAGGGATAGTCGCCAAAAGACCTGCCAGACATCCCATTTTGACAGGAAACCACCGTCAAGCACGTCTACAGTGGTGCAGACAGCTTCTACGCTGGACGGCCATGCAGTGGGGACAAGTTCTATTCACTGACGAGTCCCGTTTTCACATCAGCCACAGCGATGGACTGATTCTAGTGTACCAACGTCGAGGTCAACGTTATGTCAATCATTGTGTCATGGAAGAAGATCGGTTCGGGGGTGGCAGCGTTATAGTATGGGGTGGGATTACAGCAAGACAGAGGACCCGTTTGATAGTGGTAGAGGGAAATCTCATTGGACAGCGCTACCGCGACGAGATCATCGGCCCTGTTGTTCTACTGTTTTGGCGTTGTCATGGCCCAGGCATTACCTTTCAACATGACAACGCCCGGCCTCATATTGCTCAACTTGTTCAAGATTCTCTTCAATAAAACAACATGAATGTCATCCCCTGGCCGGCTCGCTCCCCTGATCCCACATGTTCCACAGACACTCAAGGAACTTTGAAACATGCTCCAGCAGATATGGACAGATATCCCACAGGACTTTGTGCGATGCCTGGTTCATTCCATGAGACGAAGATGTGTTGCTTGCATCGCAACCAGAGGTGGACACACACACTATTGATTTGTAAATTGGCATATTGTCATGTTCATGTTTTTTTTATGAAATCACGCATTTTCTGAAGTCAGTATGGCAAATTAAACCATTTGAACACTTACAGGAGTCTTTTATCTGTATCTTGGTAAAAACGTAACTTTGCATTAAATCTTATTCAATTTCACAGGAACTTTTGTTGTTCAGTATATTTGAAAAGCAATGCTGACAGTAAATATAGTTTTGTTGACAATTTAAACTGTTGACTACTTATCCAGATGACCTGCAGTGCCACGGCACTATTTTTGTAATCATGCATTTCGTATGTGCTTTTGTTTTTCAGCATCAGGGGACAAGGTTCTGGCTGTGGCAGGATCACAAGTGGAACAGGCAATCAAGTGAAGCAGAAACAGAAAAATACAATTGTGCAATTGATATTTTGCAGATTCTTTATACAAGATGAAATTTACATTTTTGTTGTTGAAAAATAACTTTGCCTGTCCATAAAAAAACATTGTAATGATTTTCCTTGTGTAGTCGTTCAGCTGGAGCACTTTCATTGCCTGTTATTTGTCTCCCCGTCCTGGATTGTTAATACGATGCAGTATTTTAACTCACTTGCTCCCTGTTGGTTCATCCAGGATTACTGTTAACAGATTGAGAGACAGTCAGAAATTAAATGCTTGAAATTTGGATGAATTGGACCAAATTTGTCATTTTCTGTGGCTCTAATGGTTAGGGTTTGTAAGGTCTGGAAATAACTCAAATCTTCACTGAAACTACAAGGCCTATGGAGCTGATACTTGGCATGACTGAACTCAGCTATAGTGTCTCAAAAACATGCTTATAGGATCCAATTTTAAAACTGTGTACCTCAGCAGCCATTAGAGTTTTTCTGATAATTTGAAATAATCGAAGATCAATCATAAGTTCCAAAAGACCTCATTTCTGGCGGAATATTGCTAAAAGCGGCGTAAAACCATACTCACTCACTCCAAAAGACCAGGCAATCAAATGCAATTTTCCATAATTGAACACAAATGTTTGCCCACACTCTCAACCCTGAGATGCTTTTATTGCCTGAGAAGGTTTATTCATGTCTTAGTTTATAGTACTTAGAAAAGAATTAAAAATTTACCTGTTCCAAATTGCTTATGACATCCTGTAGCAATGACATCGTGACGATAGGTTGTATGTTAAGTGCCAGGGGAACAGATAAACTTAAACTTCAGCACAATATAAATAGACTAGATTAGATAAGTTTAGATGAGTACTTGGAGAAGTGTGGGAGAAAGAGCAAGGACAGTGTTCTTTTAAATATTTTTATTAAATCATTGAGCTAAGTATTTGTGTTTGTTTTCTTTTAGGTGTGATCTATTTTTACTGCGCTTAAAACGCTTAAATAACTGCAATATGACATAAACTGATTAAATTTGATGATCAGTCGGTTGGGATGATGCAATCATCAGACATGATTTTACCAGTTCCCAACACTAAGAACCTTATTTAGAAACCCATTAAATTAGCAATAAGGGGATAAAAACAAGGACTGGTAGGCTTGGAGGGGATGATATCCATGGTAAACTGCAACATTGTATCTCAGTGGGCAAGCATGACAAATTCAGCATTATTGTTGATTCCAAAGTTGAAACAGAAAATTTAAACCAGAAATTGTTACATCCCAAACTAGATTGTGAAATCAGTAAATAACCACGCAAGAGAATTAGAAGAATTAGAGAATGCAGTCGTCAAGCTCCTCACAGTGAGGCCTCTATTGGTAGGCTAACGAAATGATCAAGTGCTACTACTTTAATGACTATTTTACAGAACAGTCACAAGTTCTACATCCAGACAGGGAGCTACCTCACTATGTTATCCATAATAATGTTACTCTTAGCAATATAAAATTAACTAGGAAGGAAGTCCAAGGTGTTCTTATGTCAGTCAATACTACTAAAGCTACTGGACCAGATGGAATTAGCAATAAATTATTAAAACTAATTGCAACCTCAATATCATGCCCTCTTACGCTACTTTATAATACATGTCCTAATACATGTACATGTATGTCCTTAAGTGATTCAGTTTTCCACTTGAATGGAAGGAAGCTTTTGTTATACCTAGTTATAAAAAGAGGAGTGTTAATGAATGTTCAAACTACTGACCAGTTGCTCTCACTAGTTGTTTGGCGAAAGTCTTTGAAAAGTGTGTTCTGAAGTACGTGTTCAATGTTTTCAGAGATAATAATATACTAGCCACATTAAGAAACTGTGCACGGAGAAAATATAGATATAAGGGCACACCGTCCATAAATGAAATATAGGTTTGAACACAGCAATTATTGGAGACATTCAAACGCTCATGCACATGCCCATCACTTCGGGCTTTCCTCCCACATTAAGCTGGCATGCCGCGATATAACTGGAATACTGTTAAAAGCGGCGCTAAACCCAACTCACTCACTCACTCACTCACTCACTCACTCATGCACGTGCCATGCGATATGACGTCATTGATGGGGGCCTATGGACGTGCAATGTGTTACTGCACGTGCATCCTGTGCAGCTGTACACAGCATGTGCAACTCAAAATTCGCTGTCACTTCGGAAAGCATGATCTGTGGTCATTCAAAAATTCAAAACTTCTCAGGCGCAGACACAAGCATATCACAAGCAAATCATGCCAAGATTGACAGCTGCACAGTGTCATGAAGCCATTGGAATGATCAGAGCGGGAATGAGGCAACAACAGGTGGCAACACATTTCCAATGCCATCGTAACACCAAGTTGGTGTTGTTAAGTTATACCCCCTTATCCCCCACGAATTTTTTTTTTTTTCTGTTTTTTCTTACTTTTCCTCTTAAATGGTTTATAGACAAACACTTGTTAACTTACTAATGTATCTACTGGGTTACCCCCCTTTGATACATGCCAAGTTTGTGTATTTAAGTTATACCCCCTTACCACCCACTGGTGTTTCCTCTTTAAAATGGTCTATAGACAAATACTTATTAATTAACTTATGAACTCATGAACTCATGCCTCCTGGGTTACCCCCCCCCCATTGAAAATTGAAACAATGTGCTGACTATCATAAGCGGGTGATCTGGATTGAACAGTTCTCCACCGGCCACACTCCAGTTCATCCACAAGTAGCTATTGTCGAATACACTGACAAGTTTCCCGAGGTAGGCCTACTTCTTGTGTGTAAAAGTTGCAAATCTCTATTGCAAATAATATTGTCAAGAATGAAATATAAATTTAAATATTCTAAACCGTTGTCTTCCAGTCAATAATTGCTCAAAGGCGCTTCTGTTTTCCCCCCGATCAAACGATCTGTATGCATTCTTTGTCGTCAATCTGAACTCCCTGGGAATTATAGAATTCAACCTGTATATACATGCTGCTGAGATTTAACATTATAGATTCTCTCAATCGTTTTATTTAAATTTTACAGTCCTGTGCCATTCACAGAAAATCAAGAAAGTCTACCGCCGAGTTTGTGTGGACACAAACACATATTTTTTTCACATATACAGGCACATCTAGATTCCAATCTTGGGGGAACTTGGACAGAAGGAAAACAACTGGTAATTGGATCTGATGAAGAAAGGGGCTTGATCAAGGCCCCCCGAAACTGTTTCCCAAATTCCACACACATTTTATGTGAACGACACATAGAGCAAAATATAAAAAGACACCTTCGGCATCAGGTTTGCGCTTCAGATCAGAAGATACGACTCATTCATCAGAAATGTTTTGGACTCTCCCGACTGGTGAATAGTAATGACTCCTATCAGTCGAACTGAATCAAATGGACTAGATGACTTTATTTCAACAACTGCTCCCGATTCCTATTCTAACCTGTCTAAAGTCATTAAAAATATTTAAAAAATTTGACCCACCCCAGGGTGGTCAAAATCATCAAAATTAGACAAAAAAAATATTATTCCCCATATCGTTTGCGCAGTCTCCACATATCTTCAAAAGTCTTCTTTGAGCCTAAAATTTGGAATTATAAGAAGTGAACAAATTCTGGCCAAAATTGTGCATTTTAACAAGCCTCGGTTGTCAAAATCATCGAAATCAGGCAAATTTCTTTCATTCCCCACATCGATTGCGCAGTCTCCACAGATCTTCAAAAGTCTTCTTTGAGCCTAAAATTTAGAATTATAAGAAGTGAACAAATTCTGGCCAAAATTGTACATTTTCACCAGCCTCGGTTGTCAAAATCATCGAAATCGGACAAATTTCTTTCATTCCCCATATCGATTGCGCAGTCTCCACAGATCTTCAAAAGTCTTCTTTGAGCCTAAAATTTGGAATTATAAGAAGTGAACAAATTCTGGCCAAAATTGTGCATTTTCACAAGCCTCGGTTGTCAAAATCATCGAAATCGGACAAATGTGTTTCATTCCCCATATCGATTGCGCAGTCTCCACAGATCTTCAAAAGTCTTCTTTGAGCCTAAAATTTGGAATTTTAAGATGTGAACAAATTCTGGCCAAAATTGTACATTTTCACCAGCCCTGGGGTTGGTCAAAAGTCATCAAAATCGAACAATTTCTTTTTATTCCCCATACCATTTGCGCAGTCTCCACAGATCTTCAAAAGTCTTCTTTGAGCCTAAAATTTGGAATTTTAAGAAGTGAACAAATTCTGGCCAAAATTGTACATTTTCACCAGCTCCGGTGTGGTCAAAATCATCGAAATCGGACAAATGTGTTTCATTCCCCATATCGATTGCGCAGTCTCCACAGATCTTCAAAAGTCTCCTTTGGGCCTAAAACTTGGAATTATAAGAAGGGAACAAATTCTGGCCAAATTGTGCATTTTCACCAGTCCCCGGGTGGTCAAAATCATCAAAATCAGACAAAAGTGTTTCATTCCCCATATCGATTGCGCAGTCTCCACAGATGTTTAAAAGTCTATTTTGAGGCTAAAATTTGGAATTTTAAGAAGTGAGCAAATTCTTGCCAGAATTGTAAATTTTAACCACCCCGGGGTGGTCAAAAGTCATCAAAATCGAACAATTTCTTTTTATTCCCCATACCATTTGCGCAGTCTGCACAGATCTTCAAAAGTCTTCTTTGAGCCTAAAATTTGGAAATTTAAGAAGTGAACAAATTCTGGCCAAAATTGTGCATTTTCACCAGCCCCAGGGGTGGTCAAAATCATCAAAATCGGACAAATTTGTTTTATTTCCCATATCAACTGCGCAGTCTCCACAGATGTTCAAAAGTCTATTTTGAGGCTAAAATTTGGAATTTTAAGATGTGAACAAATTCTGGCCAAAATTGTACATTTTCACCAGCCCCGGTGTGGTCAAAATCATCGAAATCGGACAAATGTCTTCTATTCACCATATCGTTTGTGCAGTCTCCACAGATCTTCAAAAGTCTATTTTAAGCCTAAAATTTGGAATTATAAGAAGTGAACAAATTCTGGCCAAATTGTGCATTTTCACCAGTCCCGGGGTGGTCAAAATCATCGAAATCGGACAAATTTGTTTCATTCCCCATATCGTTTGTACAGTGTCCACAGATGTTCAAAAGTCTATTTTGAGCCTAAAATTTGGAATTTTAAGAAGTGAACAAATTCTGGCCAAAATTGTGCATTTTCACCAGCCCCAGGTGTGGTCAAAATCATCGAAATCGGACAAATGTGTTTCATTCCCCATATCGATTGCGCAGTCTCCACAGATGTTTAAAAGTCTATTTTGAGGCTAAAATTTGGAATTTTAAGAAGTGAGCAAATTCTTGCCAGAATTGTAAATTTTAACCACCCCGGGGTGGTCAAAAGTCATCAAAATCGAACAATTTCTTTTTATTCCCCATACCATTTGCGCAGTCTGCACAGATCTTCAAAAGTCTTCTTTGAGCCTAAAATTTGGAAATTTAAGAAGTGAACAAATTCTGGCCAAAATTGTGCATTTTCACCAGCCCCAGGGGTGGTCAAAATCATCAAAATCGGACAAATTTGTTTTATTTCCCATATCGACTGCGCAGTCTCCACAGATGTTCAAAAGTCTATTTTGAGGCTAAAATTTGGAATTTTAAGATGTGAACAAATTCTGGCCAAAATTGTACATTTTCACCAGCCCCGGTGTGGTCAAAATCATCGAAATCGGACAAATGTCTTCTATTCACCATATCGTTTGTGCAGTCTCCACAGATCTTCAAAAGTCTATTTTAAGCCTAAAATTTGGAATTATAAGAAGTGAACAAATTCTGGCCAAATTGTGCATTTTCACCAGTCCCGGGGTGGTCAAAATCATCGAAATCGGACAAATTTGTTTCATTCCCCATATCGTTTGTACAGTGTCCACAGATGTTCAAAAGTC